CACCTAGCAGAAGGGAATCTGAAGATAATAAGTCTGAGGACCCTTCTGCTATGATTGCAGGTAGCTATTGATGTGCTATACAGTTGATGATGTAAAAATGATGTATCTGAATGATGGAAGCATTGGAAATGTCCATGGAATAATCAAAGTCCAGGGAAACCAGGGATCTGTGATCAAGTCAGGGAACCCAAATTATTTTAGGGCTTCATGTGCCTGAACCCCTAACCCTAGCTTAACCAAATATGGGCACTGTGATCCAGTGCATGTGAGGGTGCACACGCTGGATACTGGAGTTTCTGGCAGAATATGCAGCTGTCCACGATCTTCTCAACCTCATAGTGCAGCTCATTGTCAATAACCTCGGAGGGGTTTCAGGTGGTGGCCTGGGATCAGATCAGAGACAGCTGGTAGGAGCTTCATGATGTGGAATACCAGGTGGATGCAATTCATGGATTGGGGTAGGATGAGGTGGTATGCGAGACAACCCACTTGTCTTTGCATGGCAAAGGGGCCTAGGTAGCAATGGGAGAGCTTCTTAGATGGCTGTGTAGTAGAGATATCAGATGCATCTAGGTATACCTTATCCCCTAGCACGTACTCCAGTGCAGGAGCATGTCAGTGGTTGTAGTACCTTTCCATGTCATCCTTTGCTTTTGACAATGCTGCCTAATTCTGGATGTGGCTGTGCTATTTCCAAAAAGAGGTTGTTGTAAACCTCCTTTGGATCTGGACATGGTTGTGGCACAGGCCACGGCCTCATTCCTTCACAGTCTTTGTCTCCTCATAGGTATATACCTGTGGCATACAGGTGTCAAGGCTCTCTATTGTCTCATACTGCATCACAGGTGAGTTCCTCTCTCATCTCCTGGAACCATCATCTCACTCTGTATCGCAGTATTCATGTTAGATCTTACATCACATTGTTTAGCATCCCCACCCACCATCCCTATTCCATTCTTCACATACTATTCTCATTTCATTCTACATACTACTCATTACTCAGACAGTCCTTCATAGTTAGCTTGAATTTTGGCCCCTTCAGGGCATTGGACTTGAGAACTTCTGGACTGCAAATTCTCAATTTGTTTGGCAAACCCCAGAGGACTTGTCACTCCTGCCTCATCTGATCTCAGGCTTGCCATCACATCCTTCCTCCCTGTGTGCTCCCACCTCCATCAGTCACTCGAATTAATTAGGCCCCAAAATGTATGAGGCTATGCCAACTATTTGGCAAATGGCAATAATGCTCCTGCACCATTTCATTCCAGATCTCATCAGTGCTTTCTGAATTCTTTTGCCTCTTCTCCCTATTTGGTTTTGTCACTAACGATGTAACTTTTGTATCACTCACTTGCATTATTTGCTCAGAGTAGTCTTTTTAAGATGGCCAATCCATCCAGACCTTTACGCAATTCGCGCAAGGTTCAATGGTCTAGTGGTTATGATTTCTGTCTCACACTAGTGCACAGAAGGTCCCCAGTTCGACCCTGGGTTGAACCATTTTTATGACATTCTTACTTACCTTGCCTGTGGCATTCTACTGGTTTGCTAAATGTTGAATGTTATCCATGGAGTAGGGATCCGAGAGTGGGCATGTAATATCGCAGCAGGGCATCGAAGGGTTTGAAAGTTGGAGCGCAGCTTTACCATCAGGTGTAAAAAGCAACAAGTGACAACGATGCAGTGTTGTATGAGCACATTAGGTTTGCTCTCCAGTTATAAGTACTGTAAATCATTTCATCGCGAGTGCGACTCGTGCCAGTGGCGCCACGAGCGTGCATCATGCGCGCCAAGCGTCCGAACTGCGCAGCATCACCGTGGCGGCGCTTTTATCCAAGGCCCCAACGTGGGTGCTGTCATTCTTTAAAATTAGTGCCCACTGAGTGAAGTCCGAGTCCTTGGCGCGCGTTTACAATGTGTGGAACTGCGTCATATGTGATTGTACAGTTGGATAAAGCCTGCGTCGAATGTGATCACACCTTGCTTTGAGGGGGCAACATTCAAGTTGGCCGACGCAGCTCGTCTTCGATTCCGCACAATGACCCAGCAAGCTAAACTTGTTCAGCTTCACGACGTAGCGCCTTTGACAATCCATGTCTATCGAGCACATGGGTTAGTGGAGTGATTCGGACTGTGGCAGCCGAGTCATGCGGTCTCCAAAGCGAGGCCCTATTTCTGGTCCAGAAGAGTACATGGTCCACACTGAATCCACACTGAATCCACGCAGGACATTGCGATAAAATAAAATAAAATAGTAAGTACGTTGAATGAGTGGCCGGCGAAGTACTACTTGCCGGATCAAATGGTAGCAAAGTGCTCCTTTCTCGAGTTGACCTGAATTGATTATTGACTCAGGGCATTGAAATGTAAGAGCCCAGACGAAGATGATGGTTCCTCTGGGCACAGGACCATCACATGATGGCGAAGAGACTCGATCGCAAATCAGGCGTTACTTTGCAGCTTTCAATGGCGATTTCCGTTTGACTTGTGTGCCTGACCCAGTTAACGTTCTGTTCAACGGTGATCATGCCTGCTCCTCACAGGCAGACTGACGATCCCCTCGACCAGGCCCTGTGCCCGCCCCCCGACGAGTCCCCTCATCAGCGCGAAATCCGCCTCGCGCGTGAGGAGGAGGCAAACCGGGTAAGTCAGGCTATCGATGCGAGCATCAAGGCAGAGAAGCAGGCTAGGAAGAAGAAACGGATAGTCAGGTTGCTGCTGTTGGGCCAGAGCGAGTCCGGTGAGTTGTGTAGTTCACTTGTGCACTGTCGGGGCTAATGTCGGCTCCAGGCAAGTCTACCACGCTCAGACGTGAGTTCAGACCCTCGCCCTCTTTATTTTACTCACTTATTGTAGAATTTCAACGGCTGTATACACCGACGGCCTTTCGCGAGGAACGAATACTATGGCGAGCCGTCATCCAGCTGAACATTGTTCGTTCAATACGAATCATTCTTGAGACTCTTACTTCGCCGTCCCAAAAGTCACCTAAAGCTTCACCATATTCCTCACCACGATCTCGCGCGCGCAGTATATCACGGCCGCCGCCTCTCCCCACGCACGTACCCCCACTACCCGGAGCGGACTATACCAACTTCACCAGTTATTCAAACGGACAGAACGGAAACGGATTTGGACATGTTAACGGAAATGGCAATATTGAGGACACCCAGTCGGGGCGCCTTCGTGTCGACTCGGGCGCTGAGTCAGATTCCGACTCGGAAAACACATCGCGATCCAACCCCTCCTCCACGACCCTAACACCGTCTCCCCTGGATGCCTTGAAGACACGCCTTCAGCCGCTCCGGCACATCGAGGCTCTGCTCATTGCAAAGCTCGTACCGCCGAACGAGGACGAAGCCACCCATCTCGCGGGGCCATCGCATTCGACTTCCACTCACCCCCTCGGCCAAATCGGCAGCACAGGCACGTCCTTCCGGAATCAGGAGATATTCGTGCGACCCGGCGCAGGATGGAAAGGTGCCTTGTCTAAGGCCAGGGTCAACTACCCTAGCTACAGTGCAAGGGAAGACGGGGCGAATCCGCCTGCGGACGGCCGCCCGACGAGTGCAGGAAACACGGGCTTGGAGACACAGGACGAGTCACAGGAGGTGCTGCATCAGTGTCGAAAGGACATGATGCTTCTATGGAACGACGTGGTCGTGCGGGAAATTCTCCATCGCAAGAAGGTGCGGCTGGAGGAATTGCCTGGGTTGTAAGTCTATCCGCCGTCTGGTATCACCGGCGGCGGTAGGAGGACTGATTGTCCCCGAATGCAGCTTCCTGAATGATCTGGAGCGCGTTACGTCGCTACGGTATATGCCTACGGACGGTATGGGGTCATGTTATTGTCTCTTTGACAGCCGCTGATTCTGATTTCTTGTCCCGCAGATGATGTCCTAAGGGCGCGTCTGAAAACAGTCGGTGTTTCGGAATATAAATTTGAGATGGAGGTGAGCGCGGGACGAGACAGCGGGACTGAGTGGCGCATAGTCGACGTTGGCGGAAGCAGAAGTCAGCGACGTGCGTATGATCTCAACGACTTCGATCTGCGTTGACGATCAATATCTTACAGCCACATGGGCTCCATTTTTCGACGATGGTGAGTTACTCGCGCGACGCTGCCATTCTCTAATCCAGGAATATTCCTCCAGTGGACGCCATCATCTTCCTTGCGCCAATATCTGGCTTTGATCAGGTCCTGGCCGAAGATCGGACCGTAAATCGACTGGTGAGGCGCTGGATTGCGCTATCAGCTCATTTGTACAGCTCCTGAACTTCTTGTCGGTCTGCAGGAGGACTCCGTTCTATTGTGGAAGGCGGTCTGTTCAAACAAGTTGCTAGCGAGCGTTGACCTCGTTCTTTTCCTCAACAAATGCGACATCCTGGACGCGAAATTAAAATCCGGAATCAAGTACGCATCTGCCTTCCTTGTTTCCCCTCTTTCACGTGCATAAACCCCATTTCCACCACTCTTTTTCTGCAAGCATGGTAAACTGATTCTCCATTCTTCCCTCCTTTGCGACCACACACGCAGGCTGTCCAGATATGTCAAAAGTTACAGCGATCGGGAGAATGATCTCGACAGCGTGAGCAAATGTGAGTTCAGCCGAGCCTCGTTGCTGATCGAGTGCTGATCATTTATCCACCGTCCCCACTTTCTTGTCTTTCTTTCTTGACTCGTCCTTGCCGCCGTTGCTCCCGTCGGTGTACTTGCCGGACGTTTAGATCTCCGGGGAAAGTTCAGTGCGATTCACCGCGAGTATTCCCCGAATCCAAGAAAATTCTACGCGTTTTGCACCTCGGTGACGGTAAGTGTCTGATTTCCTGATCCTTGGCTATTCTTGGGACTTGGCTAGTCTCGCAAGCTCACCTTTCTTCCCCGTGTCTTTGCCTGTCGTGCTGCGCAGGATACTGCGACTACTGCAGGAATTATTGCGAGTGGTACGTTCGCATCGCGCCATTGCGACCGACCATACTGTGGATCCTGACGGCGATTTCATCGAACAGTCCGCGACATGGTCATCCGACAGCATCTCAAGCAGTCTAAACTACTATAACGTCATCCGGCCTTTATCTTCCGTCATTTGCATCAACCGCCCTCTTGGTTTCGTTCATCTCCCGTTTCTCATTTTTCATGCATCTGGGGTTTGTTACCGTTTATTAGAGATCTTTCTCCGTTATTGTCTTCTATACTTTCCTTTCTGCATACCACTCCCGTTATCTTTGTCACGACTGGACGCCTAAGAACTGCGCCGTGTACCTGTATATATATTGTACAGTATGCAAGCTCAATTCAATGATATATCCATCTGCTCTTATCCCTGCTCTTTCCTGAGAAATTATGTACCTTCCTCTGGATGGATTCTGGGGGTCAAAGCCTCAATTGGCAGACCGCCACACTCTCAAGTTTCAACCACTTTTCTCAGGTAATGAATTTCAATCAAAAGCTCATCCCCTGGCGATATTTCAATATTGTACAGACATAGCGACCCCAAGCGCTGAGTGCTTTAAGCTTGTCTGAAAAATCTATTCGATATTAATATATATCGTGGCAACTTGGTGGCAACCAGTGCCGCAGTGCCCGCAGTGGCTGGCCACCTCCAAATACATGCGATGCGTGACGTGACGCAAGCACGACGCGTAAGTCTCTACCCCTTGTCCTTTACCGTTACGATGCCCGTCGCAGCCAGAGCTCTCCTCGCCCCAGGAGGCATCAAGTCTTACTACCAGGCGAAGATAGAAACCGCCGAGCTGACTATCAACCAGAAGACGCAAAACCTTAGGCGATTAGAGGCTCAACGCAATGCACTCAATGCTCGGGGTGCGTCTTCACGTCAACACGCTAAATATCTCCGTTGTTCACTTCATACGCCCATCTGTAGTGCGGCTTCTTAGGGAAGAACTTCAACTGTTGCACGAACCCGGCAGTTATGTCGGAGAAGTCGTGAAAGTGATGGGAAAGAACAAGGTTCTTGTGAAAGTCCAACCCGAAGGGAAATACAGTACGCCGCACACCATGTTCCTCTGGCCATAAACTTCTGTATTAATGAATGCGAGCAGTCGTTGACCTGCACTCCGAAATCGACATCAACGCCCTCACACCAACACTACGCATCGCACTCCGATCCGACTCATACACAATACACAAGATTCTTCCCAACAAAGTTGACCCGCTCGTATCGCTCATGATGGTTGAGAAGGTGCCAGACAGCACATACGAGATGGTCGGGGGTCTCGACAAGCAGATCAAAGAGATCAAGGAGGTCATTGAACTGCCTGTGAAACACCCAGAGCTCTTCGACGCTCTCGGTATCGCGCAGCCCAAGGGTGTGCTCCTCTACGGCCCCCCAGGAACTGGAAAGACGCTGCTCGCGCGTGCGGTGGCGCACCACACGGACTGCAAGTTTATCCGTGTCAGCGGAAGCGAGCTCGTGCAGAAGTATATTGGTGAGGGTAGTAGGATGGTGCGGGAGCTGTTCGTCATGGCAAGAGAACAC